ATGAAATAAATCAATAAACAAATAAACCTAATTACATCCCCCAACCAAAAAAAAAAGAATTGCAATTTAGAAAAATTAATGCTAACTGATAGAGATATGATGTTAACCAAAATAAAACCAAATCAATAATATATTTCAAAGTTGTGAGGCTGGATTTACTAAGGATTTCTCCATGGCTTACTTAAGCATCGGTAGTTACCTGACACTGAAGAGGTCACTGTGGAATTCATTTGCTCTACGAAATTCACGTACAGCTCTACTAAATTATCTGCACATCATGAAACAATTATGGTGGAAATCCTGAAACTCAGGCCCTGTGCATTCTCACTTTTGCATTGCCTTACTTCCGTCCATGGCTAAACGTTATGATCAGTAAGAGCAGGGGAAAATAGTTGCAAATAAAGTTTTGTTGAGGAAAGTTCCACACTGAACAACGCCCTGAGTCAAGCCTTTGACTGGGACAGGCTGTCATTCAGTGAAGGGAGAAGCAGCCGTGGTCCTTGGAGGTTGAAACACTGGATCCCAAATTAGTCTGTATATGAGCTCGGAGAAGAGCAGAGCAGGTGGCAGGCAGAAATCCAGACTCCGCCATGTTGACCTGTTGCTCGCGATCACAGAACACGTGAGATACGTTTTCCGGTTTTGCCAAAGCACAATCAGCCTTGGTCTGCAATTGTGAGCCGGTAGCAGGAGCAGATGACCACGCAGGAGGTGCCCGGGACTCTGACGCACAGGGAACAGTAGAGTGACGAGCAGACACGTATTGACGGGAAAGTGTCGGCTGGTCTCGCCTATTTTTTGCATGGAAACCCCCAGGGGACTAGTGTAGATGCCTTTGAAAACAACTCCATATGTGAATAAATGAAATAATAGGAAAGAAGGAGGAAGGAGGAAAAAAAGAAGTCATCTTTACTGACTTTCCCACTGGGCTATGCCAGGCAGAATTGCTGACAAATGGTTACTACCATTTACTGGATCCTAACTGTGTGCAAGTTTCTGTTTTAAGCAGTTCACACTCATCACCTCGTTGAAACTTCGTAACAGCCTCAAGTGAGACTTACTCCTGGGTTTACAAGTGGGAGAACTTTCTTACAGCCAGGAGTGAGGTCCACGGAGAATTCAAAACCGCATCTTCGGGGGGGGGGGTAAGCCTCAGCGGTAGAGCGCATGTTTGCGCGCACGGGGTCCCGGGTTCAATCCCTAGGGCCTCCTCTAAAAATAAATCAATCAACCTAATTACCCCCCCAAACTAAATAAAAATAAAAGGAGACATAAAGCTGCTTTAAAAAACTAAAAGCCCTCTTGTGTAGAAGCCCACTCTTCGCGCCGCCCTGGACAGCACGGGCGCGGCCCGCAGAGGGCCGTGGGGAGGCCCGGCCCCTGCCCTCGGGGAGGAAGGCTCATTAGGCCAGAGGCAACCCGGAGGACAACGCAGCTACTTGCAAGTGCCGTGGACAGGACAAGCGGGCGGACGCGGGCCGGGAAGGGGCTTCTCCGAGGGGAGCCAGAGCGCCTGTCATAGTGTCTCA